TTTTCACCAAGCTAGGGCGTGCTGGGGCAGTCCGCTCAGCCACCCCATGCAGGGGGTCTCGTGATTCTCTCATTAGCTCTCCAGACTCCATCCCTTTCGGAAACATCCCTCTCTGCTTTCTCTCTGAAACCATCTCGGCAGGCTCTCTCTTTCTCTCTCTCTCTCTCTCTCTCTCTCTCTCTCTCTCTCTCTCTCTCTCTCTCTCTCTCTCTCTCTCTCTCTCTCTCTCTCTCTCTCTCTCCCTCTCTCCCTCTCTAGATACTACTCTGCAATTCAGGAAGTTGGCATGAACGCGCCATGGTGATCATCGGTGAGAACAGCACCGGTGATGATGACGACGATGCCCTTCACGCCGCCACAGAGATGCGGGAGGCCAAAACAGGACTAGATTTTCTAGTCTCCGTGCTCTCGCATGAAAAAGAGAAGCAAGCTTCCTTCACTTCAGGAGCATACACTGGTGACGCGTCTGACCTCTACCGCGGCGACGATCGCCCCCAGCCCGCGCATACTGCTAAGCCGGTCGTGGCGTAAGCAGCTGGCCCGAGCGTCCGCTTGCCAGCTGCTGGTCGTCATCAAAGCATCCGCCTCGTTACAAGCAGGCCGTGCTCCGCTGGGTTGATCCAACAGCTCCTGACCATCCTCTCGCTGATGCGGGCAAGTCGGTAAATGACGTTACGGCCATTCCATCCAAGTAAAAAAAAACAGTCACTAACCACTTTGATTTACGAGGATGCGTTGGACTCGTTCAAGTCCACGTGGTCGACAGACTACCCATGGCTCGTACCCATCAAAACCACTTCTGGCATGCCTGTGTTCAAGTGCACATTGTGCATGGACTTTGTAGGTGACGGTGGCAAGTGTGGCAAGAGTGGGCACGGTGCAACCGATCTTCAGACCCAAGCCTTCAAGCGGCATGCCGCGATGAAGAAGCAGAAGAAGAAGATGCTAGCTCAGGCTAGGAAGCAGCCGCGGATTGACCAGCATCCGCTCGCCAAGGATGACGAGACGAACCGCGTCATCGCCCTCCTAAACTCCCTTCACTTCACAACCCAGGACCACCTGCCGATGGAGACGTGGGTGAGCCTCGTTCGGTACATAGCTAAGAACGAAGTGCGTGGCTTCCCCAAAAAGGGATACGTCACTTATTACACAACGTAAGTTCTTGGTATTCCATCCGCGCATGCAGTGAAGAGCCTCTCATGTTAACAACCACATAACCGTAATAAATGTTTCCTGTGTCTCTGCAGGTATGGCTTCGGGGAACTCATACAGGCAACGGCAGTGTGGCTGCAGACCACACAACTGGAGCAAATTCTCACAAGCCATTACATCGGCCTCAGCTGTGACGAGTTTACGGACAGATGCCGTGGGAAGCATCTCATCATCTACGCCACATTCATCCGCGATGGGGCAGTAGTCACTAAGTTTTTCGCCCTGCTAAGCGTAGACAAGGCAGACGCCGCCTTGCTGGTGGGGTTGCTCTTATCCCATGTCAATGCCGTCGGCATTAACCTGCGCCGAATCATGGGCATCAGCACCGACGGAGCGAGCGTGATGGTCGGATTCAAAAACGCGCTGGTGTCGAGGCTGAGGACGCGCATACCGCATCTGGTTTCCTGCCACTGCATCGCTCACATGTATGAGGGTTGATGCGCTTTCCCCTGAGTTTTAGTTATCTGCAAGAAGTTTTCTACCTTCTACTTACCCTAATGCGTCTATTGCTTATGTTAATCGCAGGGAAGCGCTCGCGGCCAAGGACGCGGCAGAGTCCCTTCCGGAGTTTGGCATGGTCGACAGCTTCATCCGCTGGCTCTCCACCTACCTCAGCTCATTTGGACCCAGGCACCAGCGGTTCCTGGACATGCAGGAAGTCTTCACTCAGACTATCCTGGAGCTCCAAGGAATCAATGATGTGCGTTGGCTATTGCGCGGAGATGCAGTCGGGTGAATTCTTGCAGTCCTGCCAGGTGTCGTTGTGATGGTGCACGAGCTGGGAAACAAGCCCATATACCAAATGGTAACAAGCTACAGATTCCAATTCATGCTGCGCTTCCTCGCTGACGTGCTGCAACAACTGAACTTGCTCAGCAAGACGTTCTAGCATCGACAGGTGAGATTCTGCTTTTGCCGTGATTCCCACAACACTGCACATTTATGTGTGCAAGCACCGGCCACGAAGACTCTGACGCATGCGCCTCTGGCTCATGTTTGTTTTGTTATATGATTGATACTTTGCCTTTTTTTTTTCCTACTATTTTGTGTGGCAGATCGACCCGCTGGCGGTTCAAGGCCAGATCCGTCGCACGACAACCCACATCAACAGCCGTTATATGGATTATAGCGACGACTTCGGAGGCGGCCTAAGCGAGAAGCTGTCGCCCTTCATTGCACGACATGGACCGAACGGGGTGCGGAGAGTTGAGGTCGAGTGGGTTGACTCTGAAGGACGCCCCACTTCTCACGGTTACATCCTGCATGATTCTCCCCTTGAAGGCCACCCCTTTGCAGGGACCCATGACCGATGCGTGGACCAGTGCACGGCGATGGCGGAGTCCCTCGTGCATCACTTGGATGAGCGGCTAGGTTCTCTCGACAAGCTGAGCGGTGTGAAGCTGTTCATGCATGACGAGTGGCCCCATGGATGGCAGGAGTGATCCATGGTCTGCACGGAGCACCTCGAGTCACTGGCAACGCTCTTCAAGGCCCAAGAGTGCGATGAGATCGTTCCAGGTTCGTGCTGCCTTACGAGCTGTGCATCGTTCTTTGTGCTGTTCACTTGTGTAGCAACAGAACTCTGGCACCACTTGTGTGCAGAGCCTCGCTTACTTCGATTATTCCTTGTGCATGCGCACTCCTTGGACTGCAAGAGTCAACAAGCAGAAGGCGTTCAAAGAGCTGCGCTCGTTCTGCACGGTTCTCGCTAGAGCTCCGAAGTCCAAGAGGAAGTTCTACCCGGGTCTCTCGGCCATGTTGAAGTCTCCCAACTGGGAGGACGCATACCCCAATCTGGTGAAGATGTGGGTGGTTGTCGCTGTGCTAGTGTTAAGCACAGTCAAGAACATTATCAAGAGTTGGCTGAGGGGTGCCATCAAGGATGTGCGGCTGTCGGACCTCATATGCATGGCATTGCTGCCGTACGAGCCCGTTTGGGTGCATGTGGTGAAGATCTGGAGGGCGTACAAGAAGCGCAAACCCATCACAACAATGGCAGCACCAAAGAAGCAACCAAGTGCTAAGGGGAAAGAGAGGGTGGACGAGGATGATGCTGGTGCTGGCTCTGGGTGGGGGACAGAGACCCCCATGCACGTATCTATGAGCGATGGTGCTAGTGACGATGATGTTATGCTGTGCATAGAAGTTCACTAGAACAAAATGTAACTTTCTAAAAGTTAATATAATAGTGGTTGTAGATTCACTGATCAGTGTTTTTTGAAAACGCACCCTGTTTGATTAGTGTTTCTTTTCCAAGAACCTTGAGGAATCAGTGTTTCTCCACAGGCAACCCTGATAACCAGTGTTACACCTCCAAGGGACCGTGAGTGCTCAGGGTCAACATAAACGAATCTGAGGCCCTGGGTGTGTTTATCTTGTCCTGAAGTGGCTAAAGCATCTGAAGATTCAACAAGCAGTGCATTCACTTCACGTGTAATGGCCGGTTTGTTGTAACTTTTATGTGCCCTGATGCTCCCTGGACCCTGGGTGTCAACAACATGTGTTGTCAGCAACCCCTTCAAACTGTTGTGGTATGTGCCATGAATCTCAGAAAGGGTTTGCCAATGGCTCAACCATTAGGTGCATGCCGAAACTCGCCCGCAGAGCGACAGCGCTGATGAGGGAGTGCTTGTAGGCGGGGGAGAGGCGCCATGAGAACTGCCTGAGGATGTGCGCCAGCACCACCTTTGTTTCTGTGAGGGCAAAGTTGTTGCCGATGCAGATACGCGGGCCCGAACCAAAGGGTAGGAATGCTTGAGGGTGAGAACATGCTTCATCTGTCCCTTGTGGCATGGGTGGGGTTTGAGGAAGGGTATGAGGGAGAAGGGGCAAAAGGGGAACGTGGTATAATGAGTGTAAGCCACAATGACTTGAAGTTATGTGGAAGAGGAATATCACGGGAAAGAACAGGGAAGGGGAAACAAGAGGAGAAAAGGGCATAGGCATGCAGACAAGAGTTGCGAAGAAACAAGTGGGGAGAAACAACAAAACGGATGCGGAAGGAGGAAGACAAGGCACGGGCAACAAACGAGACTGGCTCGCGAAGCGTTAGAGGTTGAAGTCTAGGGCATGCGGGCCCCAGAAGCGATTGCAAGACGGCAAAGGAGAAAAATAAGAAGGCAAAGAATTGGGCAACGATGAGGGCACGGAAATAGACTGACTAGAGAAGCGGTCGGGGTTGAAGTGGAGGGCTTGAGGGCCCCAGTAGCGCGGGTCATAGTGCAAGAGAGCAACTGGTATCAGCACGTTCACACCCCGCGGTCGTTGTACGGGCCCAGCCTTACTACCTGGAGAGGGTGCGGAGGAGAGAGAAAGCAGGAGAGGGTGAGGAGGAGGGGGTGAGGGGAAGAGAGTGAGTGGGTGGACGATGAGGCTGAGAGCTGCAGAAAGACGGAACTAGAATAAGCTCCCCTCCAACCATCTGAACCCCCCCCCCTCCCCCCCAAGTAACAAACACACCGGTGCCATTCGGAACCCGCGGCCCATGTGTACCTGCTGGTACGTGTGGCCCATGTGTACCTGCTAGCACGTGCAGCCCAGGAAGGGGACGGGGGGGGGGGGGGGGAACATGCGCAGGCTCTCTTGCAGCACCATGCCCATGCCCCTCAGTGCCCTCTCTCTACACCACTTTCCCGTACATTTGACCCCTCCCCAACCCCACATGTGTGCATTTGACCCTGAAAGTGTGTACCTGCTGGCACGTGCGGCCTAGGAAGGGGACGGGGGGGGAACATGCGCAGGCTCTCCTGCAACACCATGCCCATGCCCTTTAGTGCCGCCACCACCTCCTATGTCACCCGCCCCCCTCCTCCTCTCTCGCCTTCCCCTCGCGCTCCTCCTTCTCGCTCTCCTTCCTCCTGTCCTCCCTCCTGTCCCTCCTCCAATCCCTCCCCTCCAGACCCCCCTTGGCTTCTCCCTTCGTGGTTTCCTCCACCTGCCTCTGACCCTGCCTTGTCTGGTGCTCCTTCTTCCGTGCTGGCGGTGGGGACTGCTGACGTGGCCTGTGCCCCCTGCTGAGTTAGCGCCTGCTTGAGCTCTGCTCGCAGCCGCTCGTGCCAGTCGGGATGCTTCGCCAGAAGATAGAACGTCCACGTCAGCAGGTGCGCCGTGGTGCTGTGGCCTGCCGGTAGGGGACGAGGGGGAGAGGGGCACAGAGGAAGATAGGAGGCGACAAGGGAGGAAGATGGGAGGCGATAAGGGAGGGGGCGGCAGAAGGAAGATGGGCATTGGTGAAACAGGAAGGGGAGGTGTGACGATGCACAGAAAGGAGGCAATGCAGAGAAGATGGTTGATGTCTCGAGTGTCGTAGGAGGGGAGGGCGGAGGGGGGCGGGGGAAAGGAGGGTAGCAGGGAAGCAGAGGGGCTGAGAAGAATGGAACGGGAAGTGGAGTAAGAGTGGATGTGGGCTTGGGAAGGGGTGGGGAAGGGAAGAGAAGGGAGGGGAGAAGGTACAGCGGGGTGGGGCAGTACCAGCGAGGAGAAACGGGAGGCATGTGTAGTAAAGAGACGAATATTGAAACAAACATTGAGACGTTTTGAGAGACGCGACGGCATTCGTTGCTTCACGCCGACTTGAAAGTGTGTTTGAATCAACTCGATTGAGAGCATGAAGTCAGAACGAGCATACCAGCAAGGAGGAAGGTGATGCACTCGTCCATGCGCTGCTGATCCGACATCTGCTCGTGCTTTCGGTCAACCTATAAGTAAATTTAACTCGACTTATAAGTCATTTTGAGTCGACTCAAAAGGAGCATACCGTCGAGGAGGAATGTAATTCACTCGTCCATGAGCTGCTGATCCATCATTTTCTCGTTGCTTGCCTCCTCATGTGCTGCCAGCATGAGTGCCAGCAGATCCCGTGCACCCCGCCCTGCTGGCCCCCCCTGCTGCTCTCCATGTGCTTCCTCCGCCAGCCCTGCTGCTCTTTATGTGCCCGCCCGCCCTGCTGCCCCCCCTGCTGCTCCCCATGTGCTTCCTCTGCCCGCCTTGCTGCCCCCCCCTGCTGCTCTCCATGTGCTTCCTCCGCCTGTATTGCTGCCCAACCCCTGCTGCTCTCCATATGCTTCCTCCGCCCTCCCTGCTGCCCCCCACTGCTGCTCTCCATGTGCTTCCTCCGCCCGCCTTGCTGCCCCCCCCTGCTGCTCTCCATGTGCTTCCTCCGCCCGCCCTGCTGTCCCCCCCTGCTGCTCTCCATGTGCCTATCGCCATGCACTGCTGCTGCTGCTGCCCGCGCTGCTGTCCCCCCCCTGCTGCTGCCTACGTGCCTCCTCGCCATGCACTGCTGCTGCTGCTGCCCGCTCTGCTGTCCCCCCCCTGCTGCTGCCCACGTGCCTCCTCGCCATGCACTGCTGCTACTGCTGCCCACCCTGCTGTTCCCCCCTGCTGCTCTCCATGTGCCTCCTCTGCATGCACTGCTGCTGCTGCCCACCTCTTGCCTATCAGGTGCAAGGTCAGGTTGCGGATGCTCTTTTCTGCTGCCCAAAGGGCAAAGTTTTCCGGAATTGGCAAGATGCTGCAATGGGGGGATAACAAGAGTACGGAAAGGGAACCAGGCAGTATATTTATCCTCCCATATCAACAATACATGCAGAGATAAGATAGGGGATGGAATCAGTGCCTAGACATTTCCCAGTAAATAGACCCAACTCGGTACAGAAAGGAATCCACTCTTTCCAAATGTTTTTTCGAAGAAAGGGAATGCACGAAAAACACACACGACAGACACACACCTTGATAGTTGATGAACAGAAAGCGGGGTTGATGATCTGGTGCTGCCGGGCCCACAGAGATGCCTCTGAGAGAGGCAGACCGTTTTCTAGCAGCCATGCTCCTATGTGTCTCCTATAATCTTGCACCAGACAATCACCGGGCCACAAGCCTCACCTTGATCGCTGCAGGGCGGAAGGCGGGGTTGATGATGCGGCGCTGGCGGGCCCACAGAGACCCCTCTGAGAGAGGCAGACTATTACCCATCAGCCATATTATCTTGCGTGCGCTTGCTGTCTTGGTGACTCGCCCGCTGCTCGATAGGAGCACCTGCCAGGGACGAGACAGGTGGATGGATCATGGATGGATGCTCGAGTAGCCTCAGCACCTTGCGTGCCCTTGCTGTCTTGGTGTACCGCTCACTGCTTGCTAGCAGCACATGCCAGAGACGAGACATGTGGATGGATCGTGGATGGATGCCCGAGCGGCCTCAGCACCTTGCGTGCCCTTGCGATCTTGGTATACCGCTCGCTGCTTGCTAGCAACACTTGCCAGAGACGAGACAGGTGGATGGAGGAAGACAGAGAGGACAATTGAGAGCTGTAAGGAGGGCAAAGGGGAGTGGGGAGATGAAGGGAAGGGATAGATGAGAGAAAGTGACGTGGGGAGGGGAAAACATGGACGGAAAAGGGAAGGTGAGAAGAGAGGGGACGTGAGTGGTGGACCCAGGAGCACTGTCTCTTGATTGTGTTCTGCATGCATCTCATGCAATCACATCTCATGCAATCACATCTCATGCAACCATCTAATGCAATCACATCACATCACATCACATCACATCGCATCGCATCACGTCAGGCAAATCACATCATATCAAACCATAGCATCGCCACATGACTGTACCTGTCTCACTAGTGCAGTGTCTGTTACCACCAGTTGCACCATTGCCCCTACAGTGAATCCAAACACGTCCCCATACTGCTCGCGCCACTGGTGCAGCTTCGGAAGCAACACAGCAAGGCCGTGGGTGGAGGGGGGGGAGTCGGGGGAGGGGGGGGGGTGGAGGTGCAGAGATTTATAGTTTTCGGGATGGCGGGGCACGAAAACGTGGGCACGGGAATCTCGTCACGAAATGGACACTAGGAGTTGAGGCAGGAAATTGTGTTGGCTTGCCTTGTAAAAATTCTATAAGTGTTGAGAGCAAGCTTGAACATAGCTTCACTATGGAAAAGAAAACAATAGAGTACAATGGGAAGGACCAGAACCATATAGAAACGAAGCGACGATAGTCGCGAACGTTCACGCAGAACGTTCCGACAACTACTCCAGCATGTGCGTTGCCAAGTCAGCAACGGCATGTGAAATTAACATGCCAGGTAAATTTATACCTATCTAGAAGTAGTTGTTCATGTTTCTGCAGTATTTGCAGTTACACATGCTTCGCTTGTGCAATATAGTCACTTCCTTTGATTCTGTCCGTTTTTGTTTTGTGGCTACCAAGTGTACTACGCGAATATTCCCTCCCAAAGTCATGACTTGGTCCAATTTCGCAGCGTCCAACCTTCCGCGCCTTCTCCCGTTCGTAACCCGCGGGAAATACCGCAACGGTGATCTACCGCGAATCCTCCCGAAGGCACAAAAACTTCGCCCCAGCACAAACACGAAACCTCAAGCCCGCGCAGACGCGAACCCAGAATGCAGTGCAAACATTTTGGCAGCTGCAGGATGCGCTCTACTGTGCGGATACATTTCGCTCAGAGCCCTCACGCACGAATACAGGCTCCTGTAGGGCCTTTTGCGTCAACACTCCCCTGCCCTGCTCGTGTCTGGGCAATTGAGGAGTTAGCACACGAAATAAAGCGAAAAGCTAACTGTGAGAGTACGGCGGCTTATGCTGGCTTTGCTAGTGTGAAGAAACAAGAATAAATGAACTAGCACAAGGTTGGGTACAAGTAGGAAACCCTAGGAAACTGTACCCCATAGTGTCTACCCCACTATAGCCTAGACAAGCTATATGATATAAGTTTGACACACCCCCATAGGCAAAGTGGGGGAGAACAAGAGGTCAGAAGAGCAGTCAAGCAAAGCAAAGCAAACTCAGGGTGGATCACAACGTCACCACACAATCCAAGCACAAGAGCAATGCCACAAAGGCCAGTTCACATGCAATATCATATAAAAAAGGTAACCAAGCAAGGGCAGGTATAGAAAGATCACAGTACAAGCAAGGTCAAGAAGTGAGCAAGTGAGGCCAGGTAGGCACAAGACCTAGCATAGTACAAACGCGCTGATGATCACCAGGCGGAAGTGCCTTGGTAAAGATATCAGCAGTGTTGGCCTCAGAGGCCACGTAAGCAAGGCGCAGGTGACCACGCTACTGCAGCTCAGGAGAAAGGAAGTAGCGGAGAGCAATGTGCTTCGTTCTGTGCTCCAGTCTGTGCTCCCGACACAAGGCCAGCATGGCCTTGTTGTCTACGTACAGAACTGGAGGAGAACGAGGCGGCTCTCCTAGGTCAGTCAGCAGGTAGGTGAGCCAGCGTAGTCATGGCCAGCCATGGCCCCCGCGTAGATCTCAGCCTCACAACTGGAGCCGAGAACAGAAGACGAGCAGGTAGACCGCCACGAAACAGAGCCAGAGCCAAGGCTGAAGGTGTAACCCTGTGACGACCGCTGCGTAGCCTGGTCGTCAGCCCAAGAAGCGTCTGCGTGACCTGTGAGGACCAGTCGACGTCGTCCTCCAAGCACTAGCCCCATGCCCGACGTACTGCACAAGTAGCGCAACACCCTCTTCGCTGCAGCCATGTGCTCTGGTCGGTGTCTCCCAGGAGCAACATAGCGTGCCAAGATGCTAAGAGGGTATGCAAGGTCAGGTCGTGTGCAGGTCATCAGGTACATGAGGCAGCCAACAAGCTCTGGGTACGGGCCACTCGACTCTACGCACTCATCCGAAGGCAGAGCTGAGAGCGAGTGGCGAGTAGACAGAGGAGTGGCCTGAGGCGAGGAGTACGTGAAGTCGAAGCGCTGAAGGACCTGCTGCACCATGTGTGACTAAGCCTGGGTAATGGTGCACTGTGCTCTGTCCCGGGTGATCTGCAAGCCAAGGTAGATGCAAAGTTCAACCAGGTCTGCGCACGTGTGTCTCTTCTGCAGCTCGGACTTCACGTGGGGGAGTCCAGCAGTGTCAGCAGTGGCAAAGACCAAGTGTGCGACATACACGAGGATGTAGAACGGCGGCAGAGAGGTGTCAGTGCGCAGAAACAGCGACGGGTCGGCTGTAGAAGGAGCAAACCCAAGAGCTGCAAGTGTAGTCCTCAGTATGACGTGCCACTCACGGGGCGCCTCGCATAGACCGTAGACTGGCCGCCGGAGGCTCCACTGGGTACCAGGAGGAAACAACCCAGTGGATCCAGCGCAACCAGATCTCCTCGTGCAGGCTGCCCTGTAGGAAAGCAGTGCTGAAGTCAAGAGAGTGAAGCTCGTAGTCGCGCTGAGCGGCTATGTGCAGCAGCACTCTTAGAGTGGTCATCTTCGGGGTGGGAGAGAAGGTCTGAAAGTAGTCAACTCCCTGCCGCTTACTGAAGCCTCGAGCCACGTAACGCGCCTTGAAAACAGGCGGAGAACCCGCCGGCCGCTTCACCCTGAAAATCCACCTGCCACTAACGATGTTCGCCCCAGGTGGGGGAACCTCGTCGACGTAGGTGCCTGTGGACTTCTAGGATGCCATCTTTGCGTCCATGGCTGACTGCCACTGAGAGGAGTAAAGACCCTCGATCACCTCAGCGTACGATCGAGGAGTCTGGATGTTTGGTGCATCCGGGTCTCCCTCAAGGGCAATCAGCGTGGACACAAGATGAGGCAAAGCAACTGCAAAACACTTGATGTCCTTCTGCCTGTCCTCAAGGACGTCCATGCTAAGAGCAAACTCAATCCTGCCGGACGGAGGACACACAGACTCAGACTCAGCAACAAGACTAGCAGCGTAGTCTAGAGGACAGCCAGCAACAAAGTCGACAAGCTCAGCAACTAGAGCAGGTGCAGCAAAGGACTCAAAGGAAGGGTCAGTGACAACAGTAGCCAGGAGACGCGTGACAGAAGGACTGGCAGCACGAAGAGAGTCAGACTCCGGGTCAGCAAGAACACGAAGAGAGGACTCTGGAGGAGATGGCAACGGGACACGCAGAGGAGCAGTGGAAGGACGCAGTGCCATCTGGTGTGTGCCTGGGACCGCAGGAGGACGCGGACGCGGCGCAGTACGACCACTAGTGCGAGCAGCACAAACAGGCGAGGCAGGACGAGACGCAGGCTCATGACGCTTAGCAAGACCTCCAGTAGGACCAGTGTAGGGAGAAGGAGCAAGCAGGGGGGAGGCGGGCTGTAGCTGTGACTACGACTCGACAGGCGGTGGACACTCTAAGGGAGGAGCAGGACCAATAGAAGGCGGAAGACCAAGAACCTGCTCAAGGAGCGGAACGAAGTACGGCCGCGGCCACGCAGCGCCTCCAGAATCAGCAGGGACAGCACCAGTCCCCCCAGCGGTAGTAATAGCGCCAGCAGCACCTCCTGCTCCAACAGCGCCAACTCCAGCACCCTCAGACGTACCAGCGCCACCAGCACCCCTAGTCCTAGCAGCTCCTGAACCACCAGTACGAGGACCTCTTGGACCAGCCGCAATAGTTGTACCTCAAGCTCCAGCAGCAGGGCTCTAGCACTGCGCAAACCACTCGCGCAGCTCCTGCGGAGGGAGTGGCTCCCGCATCGAAGAAGCACCGGGCGAGTCCACACGAGCAGACCCAACACCCCCAGGCTCAGCACCCGTAGACTCAGCACCCCCAGGCTCAGCACCCCCAGTCTCAGCACCCCCAGGCTCCGCACCTCAAGACTCAGCACCCCTAGGCTCCGCACCCTCAGGCTCAGCACCTCCAGACCCGGCACCCGCAAGCTCAACACCTCTAGTAGTACCAGAGTCAACAGCTACCTTAACAGGCTCGACTGCGTCTACCTGGGACACACCTGACGGGGAAAGACCCTGAGGGGGGAGGGGGTCTACCGGGGGAGGACCTGGCGCAAGGAAGAGCGGCGGCGGGGGGAGGGGTGTAGTGCGGTAGGGGAAGAGACGGTAGTAAGGCACCAACTCATCAAAGGTGACGTCCCGGGAGGACAGAACACGGCGCGAGGTGGGGTGGTAGAACTGCCAACTAGGCGTGTCAGGGGGGAAGCCAAGGAAGACGCAGGGAACAGCACGATGGGACAGTTGCTGCGCAGACAAG